ACTTCTTGTTGGTGGTCCGGATGACACAGCAGCGCTGCCCCTCTTCCACGGAGACACTGTAGACCTCTTTGGGGTAGGGAAGGTTACGGATCCGCCACTGGAAGCTGCTCAGGGTATCCTTCCTCATGAAGATAGGCTACAGCAAACAAGTACCTTTAGCAAGGTCCCTCCAGCTGTCTCCTCCCTGTTTCCTTCCTTACTACCTTGTGAGACTCCACATGGGAGTAGCTTCATACTAGAGCATTAGGGAGTAACTCAAGCTATAGAGCACCACTTTCCTACAGCTAGGGCTGCTCTGCCTTTACCCTGGGCACTGCTTCCAGGAGGCTGGAAGTGTTCAGTGAGGAAGCCTTGCAGTACAGGGTTACAGTGGCCTCTTCCTCACAGGCAACCAAATACTGAGCTCTGCCTGCTCTAGGAACCTGCTGGATTCAGTCCTAGCTCTGACCCAATTTGCAGTGCAGAGCTGTGCTTGTGTTTCAGGTCTATAGAAAAGCAGGTGAGAGACTAAAACAGCTGTGCCCTCAGCTAGATCTAGGTGTGTGAAGATGAAATAAGCTGTGCCCTATTAGGGAGCAGCCTGCTATGTGCTTCCTGTGCCTTTCATTTCAATCACCTGTTTTTCTATCCCCTGACTTGTCCTGGCACTGGCCTTCCTGTAACCCTGCTCTTTCAAGATGGGATAGTAGTTGGCCAGCACAACAGTACAGTTTCTTTACTTAAGGAAACTACAAATCTCTTGAAAACTCCTAAAGAACCTAAGCTGTACCTTCTTTCTACTCAGCCCTGGAGTTTTGGGGTGATTTGTAGCAGAGTGCTGGGTGCATTAAAGCTGTCTCTTGGTGATTTGCACTCTACCAACTGCTGTAAGTACAAGACAAGGTAGTTTTAGGTGCAGTGATACCTGCAGACCCTTACATACATTTGAGCTGCTCTCTGTTATATGCTCTGACTCCAGTGCTCCCAGGAGTGGTGAGGTTGGCTCTCCCACTTCCACCTGCCATTTGCCGGTGCCCCCGAGGGTGTTCTTCTCTCGCCATTTTCTACCTGGGGAAGAGAGAAGAAGGGTTTTCATTCTTCTGCTCTGTAAGAACTCCGGCAATTGACTGTCAAAGCTGCCCAGCACACTGAGATGATATGAATACATGTATCTTAATACCAGTAATTTCAACTTTGGTGTGAGTTGATCTGCTAGTTGGCCAGTTCCTAGGTCAGAAATTCTGTGCTGAATGCCTCTCTTTTTTGCTACTTGGTGCTGAAGCCATAGTGGGGTTGCAACAGGTGCTGTGCTGCAGCTGATGTGGTTTTAGACAAGAGCCATAAATAACACCTTGTTTGCGGAAGCAAAAGCCACCAAAAAGCACATTTCAGCCCTTCATGTGGTACAGAATCGGTGCCTGGCAACTATGATGGCAATATGATCTAGTCCATCCAAGTCTGTTGTGACAGATCAATGTCTGGGGGAGATCCTGGGCTAAAGCAAGGTATGCTATTGCCATGAAAGTTAAGAGAACCCTGGCTGCAAGTTGAACCCTACTTCTGTCCCTGCAAAATTCTGAGACAGACATACCTGTCTCCCAGAATAGGCTGGGATGATTTGTTCCTGACCAGGTGGTCCCTCTCAACACCCCAGCGCTGAGGGTACAGACCTACTGCCCTGCTGTCCTGCCCCGAACCACGTCTGCTGGGGGCCAGCTGAGAGCACCACTTACTTATTAACTGGCCCGTCTTAATATCGTACTCTTCGGCCATCTCCTTCCCATCCTCGAACAAGTAGTGGATCTTCCGCTTCCCTAGAGGCAAGGCAGATGGTGAGAAGCAACGGGATACACCTACCCCTGGGTGTAGGGCTCTGTCCCACTGCTGGGGCCATATCCCATTGTCCGGGAGCCCGTTCCACAGCCCGCGTTGATGGCCTTGTGTCCTCCCCCGGGGCCCTGCCCGAGGTGCGGGGCTGTGCCCAGGAGCGCTCCCCTCCGCGCCCCCTCCCTGCAGGGCCACCCCACACTATGCGGCAGGAGCAGGCGGGGGCTGTCCCGACCCTTGCCCCGCGGTTACCGTCCTGCACCAGCGCCGTCTTGCCAGCCGCCCGCAGCCGCTCCAGCCAGCTCGGCACCGCC